TGTGTTTTAAAGATGAGCAAAAGTCTTATGGGTTTGAAATGACATGAGGGTGAGTTAATGATGACAGTGACAGAAATTACATTTCTGAATAAACTAATTTTTTATGGATATTACAGATCTAGTAATGTCATATAAACTCTTACTTAAAGTTACTAGGGCTCTAATATGGTAGGAAAACCATTCAGAGTCGTTTTAGTGACATTAAGGGCTTTACCAGGTGATTTAAAACTTGCTCTCCTTGACTGACTCATTAAACATTCCTCATGGCTCTGCACACCAGGTGAGACTCGGGTCTGGCCAACAATATCCAGACACACCCTGGCACAAAAGGCCAGGCTAACACACACACACACACACACACACACACACACACACACAGAACCTACAGTTCAGTCATGATGACTTCAGTTAATAATGTCCACACCCACTCGCTTCATTTATAATGTCATGGCAACAGCGAAGCAACTACAGCAGTTTGTTACGCTCAACCATAAGGACTACAACGTTTGTCTGTTTCCTCAAGGGTAAACTCACATCCAAGTTGCTCGTGCCATGAGCCCATGGCTGGAAAATTATAATTCTCTTCCAGGTTTTAGAACGACAGACTTGGACTACAACTTTCTATTCATCAAAAAAATAAAAAATAAAAAAGATAACTTTCCACAAAAATATTAAGTAGTACAACAGAATTATTTTCTGAAGGATCATGTGACACTGAAGACTAGAGTAAATGGCTGCTGAAAATTCAGATTTTGCTTACACAGATAAAATTACACTTTAAAATGCCCAGTTATCTCAGTTGTTTTAAATTGTAATATTTCACAATATTACTTTTTTTTACGGTGTTTTTGATCAAATAAATACAGCCTTAGAACATAAGAGACTTCTGTCAAAAACAACGACAACAAAATTTGCGATTAGAGTAATTTTTGGTGTGAAACAAATATGCGCCTTTGGTTCATGTATAAACCATTTGTTCAGACTGACCTACAGATCAAGAATCACATCTCTGAAAGTGAAAAACCACACTAAGGTACCACTGGAACACCTGAAAGCATTTAACACACACACACTAATTGCTTTTAGCTCTGCGTGAATGAGACTGCTTGTCTGCAGTGCTGTACAGGGGAGTTGAGAGTTGACACTATGCAAGTCTGCTATAAACTCTCAACATCTCCCCTTACAATAACACATTATCCCCATCACAGTCACACACACCTTCAAAAGCTTACACAACTAACACATAGTGCCCCTCTTTCATAATGAGGTCATAGAGAAGGATTGTGCGACTCCCTTGTTCACCCCACACACTGTGATTATACAGATGAGCCAGCAAACGATGAAGAAGGCTTCAGAATTCACAACAGCCTCCTGTCCAGGGATCAACACCTCTCAAACATCTACTCCTGTAGACCCGGTTTTAAAGTTTTGGGCTAGTAATAAAAAGGTTGGAGGTTTGAAACTTGCAAGAAGTGACTCAGGTTTCTCCAACAGAATTGCTTCTGTCGATTTGTAAAAATGTATTGGTAAAATACTATAGAAAAAAACACGTAGATAAGAAACTGGATTATGTTTTCATGACCCAAGGTCATGGGTTTGATTCCCCGATCATCCACATATGGTTTTAACTGTATGGCTTGGATATATTGCAAGTGGCTTACCATAAAATAGGTTGCTAAATACATACATATAAATGTCATTTAAGCTATTTCATTAGAAATTCAGGTTGAGGGAGCTGTAAATAATTACAAAAGGTAGAAAAAGACTGTTACAGTAGTGTAATGTTTTCTTAGTAATAATCTAAGGAAGTTAATGAATGGAAAAATAATTTAACAGCCAGTTAAAAAGTTGACAGTCAGGTAAGGTGCCATTTCATCACAAATCTTAGGGCTTAGAGATAGCATTTTCTTTTGTTCTCTGTCGCAATGACTAAAAACAATAAATAGCCATAAAAGCCCCCAGAAATTTGCAACAGGAGAAGGTTTGTAATTTAAAGGAATAGTCCACCCAAAAAATGTGTTATTCAGGTTTGAAACGACATGAAGATGAGTAAATGATCACAGAATGTTCATGTTTGGGTGAACTATCTATTTAAGACACAACTGTACCTATTTGCAAACAGACAATTTCACAAGACTAAGGTAATGAGCAACTGAAAACACAAACTGTACCACACCATTTATGGCAGTTAGACTTGTTAAACTTTCCGTTCGTGTTTTCTATATTATAAACTGAATGTCAACGCAGTTATGAGAGACACTGTGTGTCCACAAAATGCAGAAGCTTGGATGACCAAAATAGTTTCTAGAGTAGTTTTCTCTCATGCATAGACATGTGTACATGTAAAGTCAGAGAGAATAAAAGGACAGATCCCAAAGGAACAATGAAAGAATAGAATTTCATAAGTTAAACAGAGAGAAAAAGGACATCTGGAAAAAAAACAGAGAATAAGAGGGAGAGAAAGAAACGTGGAATAAAATGAAGATTGCTCTGTCAGACTCACATAAAGTGGCACTTCTCCCCTGCTGAGCTCCATTACTGCAGCAGCACCTGAAAGGAGAAAGTACATATGTATAAAACACAGCAAAGATACACACCCACAAATACACCACCTTAAACCAAACACATCTGTACAAATAACTACATATGAGCAGAACAGACCCTCACATGTGTTTGCTGCAGAGTATGTGGAGACCAGTTTGCAGAACTCTGAGAGAACAAATGTCTATTCACCACAAAAACAAAACATGACATTTTAACTGAACGCTGGCTCAGAGGGAGAAAGATAATATAGTACACAAGCACCCAAAAGCCACTAGAGAATGTGCATTTGACTGTCTATTATGACCAGTCATAAATAAACATGAAAAACAAGGGCATCACAATGAAACCTCACTGTCTGTTTGTCTGTCCTTTCATTTCACTGACTCTTTATAGAGTCACCTGACTTCTCTTTTAATTAGGCCAAATCCTCCGAGAGGGATGGGAACAAAAACCTTGCCTTTTAATTGGGACATGTTCACATGACTGTGCGGACAACAGAGGGCTTAATCTTTTGATCCCCCAAATGTCAGAACACAGCGTCCATCAAAACGCAGTCCTCTCTCTGTCTAACTAATTCATTCATTTAAACAGAAACCATGAATAGTTAGACGGAGTCCAACACCCCTGGTAAACATATCCCAAATGTATTTTGTATGTGTGTGCAAGATTGAATGCGTAAATAAGGAAAACATGAGGCTAAGAGAGAAACAGATGGTTGTCAGATGGTTTCGCCGGGAGCTCAGAGACTCATCAGCTCTGATCGACCTTTAGATACAGACTGAGCCACTGTTACACAATCCCAACCAGCCAGGCCCCAAACTCTGGGAACGAATATCTTCTCTCCATCTAACCCACCACAGTATTCCAGCAGATGTGCTGGAGTCCAAAAATGATGGAATAATTATATTTTATGAATCTTTCTAGTTACTTCTATGCAGGTTTTTGTTTTTTACTGGAAAGAGCAATAATGCAGTATTTTCATGATCTCTCTCTCTTGCACACACCAGCAAATTCAGTTTTACCTGGAAGGCATTAAAGGGGTTTGGAGTGTTATCAGGGCTTTTATGGTGTAATTGCCACACCTTTCGGTTTCAAAAACAAATAAGTATGACTTACTCTATGATACCAACTAAACTGACAGCTCTTAAAACAAACACACACACACACACAAGAAACAGATTTCATTAAACTATTTCTAAAAAAAGACAGGCAAACCATATGAACAAGGTGGAGCAAAGAAACAAAGCAGAAAGACAAAACACAAACAGAGTGAGTGAACAGAGAGAGAGAGAGAGAGAGAGAGGTGCCCTGAGTGACCTGTGTCTGCTTCGGTTTCTCTGGGTGAAATCAAGCTGACTTCAGCCAAACGCACTCAGATTCCACCTGCAGTCTACTGACACATGCCAGATGTCCTCTGTATCACTCTGTGCAACCTTTAATCCATCACAATTACAACCTTTAACAGGTCAAAATGTAACAATGAAAAATATGAGTTTTTTGAGCTTGCACTAAAGTCTGGTGATGGGGTGAAACATAAACAAGAACTTATAAAAGTTTGGTTCCCAGCACCATTAAATGATTCAGTGTAGTGTGTTTTGGGTATGACTTTGCAGAGAACAAGTTCAAAACAATGTTGTTATCTTTAAAGTGCCCCTATTATGGGTAATAAAATATTTTAGTTTTGGGAGTCCCCAACAAGCAGGTTGACATGCATGCAAGGTCAAAAAAACAGTTTCATTGTCTTATACCGTATTGGCCCGAATATAAGACGACCCTCCTTTTTCCAGATGTACCTTATGGAAAAAGGCTTTTTAAAAAACAAATCTTGTTTTTTTTCTCAGTAAAACACATTTTGTCTTCAATTATCATCATATTGCATATTTTTCCTATTTACATTTTTGTTTTGAAAGTATGGTAAAAACTGGTACCAACAATCACATTAAAAACAATATACACTTTTTGATATACCATTAAAAAAAAAAAAAAAAAAACAGGAAGCCCATCTGAATTAGGACATTTAGGCTATCCGTTCTAATAGTAGCCTACCAAAATCTTATTAACAGTAAAAGTTCAATCTTACTGTAGTCTTCAAATCTGGGTACTGTCTTACGTTTTAAAATCACAAAGGGAGTTTGGTCCCATCAGGCTAACGGGACAGTCACGACTCTTGCAGCTGTAAGGTTTTCTTTTTCTTTTGTTTTTACTCGTGATCTTGACAACACGCATTACATTACGTATTTCATGGCACACTCGTTTTATGC